TGTTGGGTTGCGTGTGAGCGTGGTCAAAGGCACCCTGCCCACACCCACCCACACGCCCATCCCCACACCCACACCCACACCCACACCCACACCCACACCCACACCCACATCCACACCCAGTTTTTCTGTTGTTGTCGCTATTCCTTTTACGAGTTTAAACGCGTGCACAAGCCTAAATATATTTTGATAGGAGTCTATGTTCAATACAACTTTACTTATTTTTTTTCCTTTGAAACTAGGTTACTATTTGCATCTTCTGTACACTATAATTCACTTACTAAACAAAACTAAGCTTTTTTTATGTTAGCATATTGTCTCATGAAAGTTAAAACATAAATAGGCAAATTTTAAGATAGGATATTTCGTATCTATGAAGTATGCGACTAGATATTGATATTTGAACTGATGTCCGACTTGATGAGAATCTATTTATAAACTTTAACATGGAAAAAATATTTCAAACATACTTTTATAAGTTTTATTTTCCTCATATATGATAGATTCCATTTCATAGAGTCTTCATTGATCTTTATTAAATCTAATTCATGGCATAGTGTTTTTTCAAATTTGGGTGTGGGTGTGTGGGTGTGGGGGTGGGTGTGGGTGTGGGTGTCGGTGTGGGTGTGGGTGTGGGTGGGTGAGAGTGTTATTTCTTTTACCCACACCCACACCCACACTCACACCCACCCACCCACACCCACACCCACCCGCACCCACACCACACCCACCCACACCACACACACCCACACCCGCACCCTTACTATTGAAAATACATGTAACTCCTGTAGCAATGAAGCTTAACACAATACTTGTTTTATTTGAAAGAAGAGACTGTCTATATTATTAAAGACCCGTTTCAACAACAATGTAGCAAAAGTGGAATTTGCGAATACAAAAAAGAATAAAATGAGGTTTTTCTCTATGTGGAAAACGATATGAAGCGTTTTTTCGATATCTATTAGAATTTCAATCGTTATTAGGAACTTTAAATCATTCAAATCTATCCTCATGACTTTACAAATACTCATCCTGATATATTCTCGAGAAAAAGGAGCACGAAAGCCAATATTAATAATAACATGTGTTGTTAAATAGTCCAACGCACACTTTTTACGGCCTTAATGGTTTTCGAAGAGGCACGAATGACCTACCGAGGGAAAATGCATCAGTTATTGGTCTTTTTCAAAATGTGTCAGAAAATGGCTGTCAAGAAATACTGAAAGATCTAAATGATCTGAAGTGCACAATGACGAACAAAGTTCTAGTAGATATAGAAAGTAGCACTGTATTGTTTTTGACATAGAAAAAACCTAATGTTTTTCTTTTTGTAGCTACAAATCCTGCTTTTGCTACGTTGTTGATTAACTTGATCTTTAAGAACAAAGTGTTCCTAGGCTCCCATTTGAAATAAAAAATATTAGATTCAGCTTGAATAATAGTGCATTGAAATGCATTTAATAAGTCACAATGACTTTTGGCACATTTTATTCGCTGATCACTTTTAGTCATATCGATATCCTTCATATGAAGAAAAATTAGTTTACATGGAATAGAAGAATAGCTGCAATGGTTCATTCAAAAAAAAACAGCATGAAATCATTTTCGGTCGTGAGACGTGCTTTTAGCTCTGCCTTGCTATATTCGCATTAGATTAGGTGTAAGATTTTTATGTACATGCTAATTATCCAATAGAAAAGTAAACGTTGCCGTAAAATTTTTCACTATGGTTCAAATTTTGACATGAATAAATCCAAAAATGCGTTTAAAATATAGCGAACATTAAAAAAAGTAGAAAATAGTTCCTTTTTTGTTCCATCTCTCATCATTGCCTAGGAAAAAATTTTGAGCCTCCCCTAAGTTAAAATCGTTCCGCCGCCCTTGCTTACGACTACAGTTTATTTGGTGATTTCTTTCGAAGACTTTCATCTCGAGATAGCTAAATCACAATCGCATTATTATAATATATTTCTGTTGCATTTGCATCAACATATTGCTATTTTCTTTTCTTTTTTTGATCAGTGTACATGATTTATGCAACTATGTTCTCAATATACCAATGTACTTTCCTCTTCATTCAGCTCATAGATAGAATGTTCGTTTCTCTTTATTTAATAGGGCAACATTATGCATAAAATTTATTTGAGTGAATTGATATAGACTCTCATTTAAATGCTAAGTAATTTTAAATAACAATAAAATAAAAAATACTGCGGATGAACATGTGTATTATCTTCTTGTTTCACACCCACACCCCTATATCATCATGTATCAGGTTCGTTCTATTGTAACCAAGATCTTGTCATTGATACAAAAATGTGTTTACATGTAAAAATATAGTGCAAAATAGTCACATGAAAATTGAAACTGATTTCGAATATGATATATGATTAACCGAAGAAAATGAAAAATTCAATGCTACATAGAATAAACAAGACTAAAATATTTGATATAATCCTAAATATTTCAATAAATTATACTAAAACTTTTAGATTCAAATGAACGAATCTGTACAGATCAATGTTATGTATGTTACCTTCTATTCTCATGAGACATTGTATCTAAGCCACGCCCAACGTTGTGCAATGAATATCACCGATTTGGCTGCTGTTTTTATAGTAAATAGATCTAACACAGTTAAGAAGAAATTCAAAATTTCATTTCAGATAAATACAGCATTCTGGAGATAGAAACGTTGTAAATATGAGCAAGTAAGTTATATTTCGAACACTTTTCAAAGTAAAGATTTTCAGAAAATATGTTCATATCGATAAAACAAGTTAGTCGGTTCAGTGAGATGGATTTACTCGAGAACAGTCTTATTTGAAAGAGCACATCAAAATTCATTGAATTATATTCTCAAAATTTTGTGATATTTAATTTTAGTAAGGAAAATGTTTTTTATAATATCTTGCATTTTTATGAAAAAACTTTCTCTAGTAAGAAAGAAATGGCATTGGATATTGTTTTATATATTGTTAGTATAAATTTCCATTTTTAGAAAATGAATTATATATTTTGATAGCGCGTGAAATTCTGCATCTTTTAATATATAATTCTAAAACGAAAAAAAGACGTGCATGGATATTCAGTAGGAACCACAGTTAATGCACTATATGATAAAACTCTTCAAATTTTATTTGTATTTCGAATTTTTAATCATTAAAGCACAATCTGTGAGCAAAATAAACAGTATATTTGGAATCATTGTAGAAAACTGCATCGACTCACATGTTTTTGAAAGAGAATAAGCTGAATGGATCGCAGGCCGATCTTTCGTAAAAAAATTGTTTTCGCTTAAAATATAAAATCTAATGTGGCTTTTTTTTGCATTGACTCCGAATCTGTTGTTTATTTAACTGCCATATCGATTAATAACAATAAAATCTAATAGATATGAACAGACTTTTGATAGTTTTGTCTCATAGTGCAAGAAATGTAATTCCAACTCGGTACCTATTCATGTCTTTTGCCTTCTGTAAAAAAAAAATTAAAAGATGCAGAATTTTACACTCTGTCAGAATGTAGAACACTTTTTCTATAAAACTTAATATCTTTAACTGAAACGATTTCAGTTATTAAATGAAAAAAGAACACAACGTGGAATTCTAGAAATTTGATTTTAAAGCTATCTTTATGTACTAGAAATTTTTCTTAGCGAATAATTGTAATTCAAGATTTTTTATATAAAAGATTGTAGAGAAATCTATGGAGTATTAGAATATAGAGTTACTTTCCTAAAAGTAAGAATTTATACTAATGATATATTAAAAAACATCGAGCACAATCATTTGTTCTAGGCAAAGATTTTTCACAATTTTGAGTGCATAACTAAATACATTTTGATGTGGTCTATTAAATGAGATTATTCTCGAGTAAATCCATCTCGCTAATCCGACTAACTTATCTTATGTTAGTGAGCATGTTTCCTGAAAATGGTAGATGATGCCAGGCAATAATTATTCAGAGATGAGAAACTTTTTATTACCATCGAAAGATAGCTCATAGTCAATAGCATTTATGGTAAAAAAAATCTCAACTCAAACTCTAATGTTTTTTTAGAAAATGAATACTTACTGAAAACCTTTACTGTGGAAGACATTCGAAATATAGCCTAGCCGCTCATACTTACAGCGTCTATATCTCCAGAATACTTTATTTGCTTGAACTGAAATTTTCAATTTCTTCTTAACTTTGTTAGATCTACTTATTGTAAAAACATCGGTCAAATCGATGGCATTGATTGTGCAACATCGGGCGTGGCTTAAGCGTAATGCCTCTTATGGAAAAGACTGCAAAATTATTAATCAAAATTTACATTTAGATGCTAAACTTGAATTATATTTGCATTATTCGTTAAAACATTTTTCAGAAAAACTTACATCATAAAATATATTTCTATGAAACTAATATCACCAATTATAGTATCATCTGAAGAATAATATTTTGTTTCATTTATACATATATATATATAAAGAATTATTTAAGAGTAAAAAACTACAAAAATAAAACTCAATAGAGAAAAAATCGTATAAAGTGTTTAAAATGTCATAATATTGAATTTATAGTTAGTTTAATACGTATTCTACTTTTTATTCTCAACAAGCGCTCAAAGTAATTTTTGAGTAGAATCATGACTGATGCTCATATGCACGATAACAAGCATATTATCTGTTCAATTTAAGAATAAAAATATAATAGCAAGTTAATAACTCAACAAATAATACATTAAAGAAAAAAATGCATTACCATCTCAACCATACAGATTAAAATAATTTAATTTTATCACAAAGAGTAACGGTTCATATGACTTACGAAAATAAATTAATAAAACCAAGAAAGAAAGTAAATATAAATACATGGTTGTCTAATTTAAGTGAATATAGGTCGAGTCATATAATAAAACGACATATTTATCTGTTTAGATGCATATGTGTCTCAAAAAAACAAGACACATTTCCTGTATTGTACACATCTTATTTTAGGTCTCATCAAAGCAGACAGAATTTTGGAAGAACGTATGTTTAAACATAAAAAAGAGAACCGCGATTGGGAACAATTCATCCTATTTATTAAAACATCAGAAACGCCATTTTTAGCACCAAATTATCGCTTTTAAAGTGTTAAAAAGGTAAAAATCACGATTTCTTTTTATACGTTTAAATACGTTTTACCAACTCTTTGTCTACTTGGAGAATCACACTGAATAAGTGACTTAACCTAAAGCTGAATTAAGTAATGTGATTAGCGCATTATGAGTTAGGTCGTCTTTTGAAGGTGATTTAATTCATACTGCACTTATCATATAACTTCATTCAACTTTAGTGTTAATTCATTTTTTGGCGTAATTGGGGCCTAAGACACATACCGTTGTTTTTGTTTATAATGCTCCCATCGTTCGTAACATGTTTATGTGCTTGCTTGATATTGGGTGTGGGTGTGGATTTGGAAAAGGAAGGCTCACGCCCACATGCACACCCATACACCCACACCCACACACCCCCACCCTCCCACACCCACACCCTCACACCCACACCCATCCACGCCCACACACCCACACCCACCCACACCCTCACACCCACACCCATCCACGCCCACACACCCACACCCCTAGTCCATTGCAGACGTTTTGGTTCTATTTTTGATGATGTTGAACAATTTTCAACAACGATCTCAGTTGATACATTATGGAATTGTGATGATGCAAAAGCAACTTTTTTTCCTTGTACACCTAATGGATCTTGATTAACAGCAATTACTTCAGGATTAGTTAGAGTAGATAAAGTAGCTGCACTCATATTAGTTACATCACATCCGATAAGTAAAGGTGCTTTACTAATAGCCCAAAGAGAAAAGTGTGTAACATATTCAGCATCAGTCATACCACCATTTCCAATTTCAAGCACTAGATAAATATAAAACGTATGGTGTTAATTATAGCATATAAAATCTTTACTTACTATCAGGATCATTCCATCCGGCAGGTCCAGCTTTATCAGCAAAGTTATTGTTCTAAAAATGGAAAAAATATTCTAATATAAAACGGTCAATATTATTTTACAATATCAATATTAAACATCATATAATCCCAATTATCTCGAATATCACCTGTTGCTCGCCAACTATTTCCAACATTAGCTGCCCATAATGCAGGTGTATCAACACCCCATTCTATACATATGATATGAGATAATAAATAGAGATGAATTTCTCAATAATGAACATACCACATATAGAAAAGAAGATAGGTCGTCCACTAGCATTTAAAGCATCTCGCATGACTGGATATCGAACTTCAGGAATATTTCCATCTGTATTACAGTTGTCATATTTCAAATAATCAACATTCCAAGATGCGTATGTATTAGCATCTATTGTTTCATAATCAAGTGAACCAGGTCGTTTAGCACATGTCATAAATCCAGCATCTAACATATTTAGTAATAAATCATTTTCACTTAACGAATATATGTAATTATCGTACCTGAATAAAGACCAAATTTAAGTTTTCTTGAATGAACATAATCAGCAAGAGCTGGTATTCCACTTGGAAAAGCTTGAGGATCAGGATGAATAATACCTTGACTATCTCGAGTCAATTGCCAATAATCATCCAGATTCACTATAGAAAATGGAAAATATTTTATGTATATAAATAAGAAAAGAACATACCATATTGATATCCAGCAGCTGCAAGACCTGTGGCTACCATAGCATCTGCAGTTTGTCGGACTATTTTTTCACTAACATTATGTTTAAAATGATTCCAACTATTCCATCCTTGAATAAATCAATTATGAAAACAGATGCATAAAATTTTAGTGTCTTACCCATTTGAGGTGTTCTACCCACACCATTGGTCAATTCATAAGAAATTCCGATGAAAAATATTAAGTATACCAACGTTGAGGATATCATTTTCTATTATTAGTAGAATACAAAAATGAATGTAGCTTGGTTATAGAACATTGTCCTTTTATCTCTTACTTTATTGATAAAGAAATGTGCAGCAAGCACCTTGACTATGTCTACATTACTATCTTGATTTTAGTATACGAGTGGGTGTGGATTTTGGTTTTCTTTTCGCCCACATTCACATATTTGTGGTTTTTATATGAGCTCGTCGAAAACATCTTTTAAGACGACAATTAATTATAATTAGCTGTCATTGTACAAGATCGTTTTGACAAGTTCAAATAAAAATTGAAAAATTGTTGTGCAAGTATTTCTCTGCTTTCATGCTTCATTTTATTTGAAAAAAGCAAAAATTGGTCGAAAGGGGTGCGGGTGTGAGTACGTATCTTCAATTCATCCACACCCATATCTACACCCTTAGTCCAACAAATGGAAAACTATTAAGATTTTGTATCTAATGGATGATGCAAAAGTTCCTGGAAAAATTTCACAGGAATTTTGCATCAGTCACAACATGCTTTGAAAAAATAAAAAATACCTATTAAGAGTCGACGTTAAAAACACTTTCTAACTGTATGTTCAAAGAATTTCTATTATGTCTTACCTTTGACTAATGGCCACATTCTAAAATGTACTCTGTAAAATGCAACCCACAATGATTGCGACAGAAGAAACCAATATTTCGGTATTTTTCGAATATCTCCTATGCATTTCATCGTCTATTGTTGCTCTTTTTTTCCAATACATTCATTGTTTAATTCTCTACGGGCTTGGTAGAAAATACTATGGTATTGCTTAAATATCAATTCCTTCAGCTACACTCATTGTGGATTCCTTTTTACAGCTGTGGTGCATACAGTTAGCTACCACTTTCAATGTAGATCCTGATCAAGTATTTTTTATTTTTTTTAAAACATGTTATTATGTAAATTGATAAATGATATTTAAAGCTTCTTGAATATTTAAATAATTTTCTTTACTANCAATTTTTTATAATCTGGTATCATGAATAGTTAAATTATTGTATAACTTCTGAATGATTTTCTTTACTATCGAATCCGTAGAAGGATTCATTTCTTATGTGTAATGCTGATTAGCGGGTAATTGGTATATCCTTGATTGATTCTTAAATTATAGAAGGTATCAATTATCAATGGGATGTCAAGTATATTTTGATTTTCAATAGATATTTTCATGTCAATCAATACCAGTCTGAATCAGTAGTTATTGTATTTTTGGTGAATGAATTAAATGACTGTTATGGAATATTGAAAATTATATTTTCCATTTAAAATGATTTTGATCCACTTGGAATTTTCCGTTCGAAAAATATCTTGCATTATCTTCGAATTTTCTTTTATAAAATTATCTATTAGCATTCGAATCAATCTTATATTTCATTCTAAACTGTATCGTTAAGGTCTTTTGCTTGTTATCGAATTTTATTGTTCAAACTCTTTATGAGTGTAGTTGTGAGTGCCGCTCGTCTACTCATTCATTCCCTCCACTCATTGCCTATAAGTTTGAAATGCATTGCTGCTATACTACGATTTATTTGGTCACTATTATTCTTCTTACTAGGGAGTCAATTCGACATGAACAAGATTATTGTTTTAATCTTGGTACTAATTCTTCTATATCAAATATGTCTTCATTTTTGTCTCTTGTGTTGAATGATTATTATCGTATTTTAACTTGACCATTAACAATAAGTAAAAATATTCAATTTTATCGAATAAATGATGTTTTTATTGATTAATTAAAATATTAGAATTATTGTTTGATTTTTTGTTTCACTTTTTTCTATTTAAAAAAAAAGAACAAAGTTTCATTCATAAAAATAATAAACTTGTTGATAATATGTTTTATCTAAATCAGTAAATTCAGGTGTATATTGATATATAAGATATTTTAATTCATCTTCTAATGAATCGAAATGATTCATATTTTGACGTGTTTGATTAGTTAAAAAATTTGCCATATATTGCGTTATATCAATAGAATCTTTTGTATGAGGTATTGTTGTATTTACTCGCCATTCAAATGCATTATTTTCTGGATGCCATTGAACTCCAAAAATTGGATAACGACGACCTAAATCAAATAAAATTAGGATCAAATAATATTCATACACAACTCATATCAAACAAAAATCAATGATAAACCGTTTGGTATAACGTGTGCTAGTCTGATATCTAAATAGTCAGCTACCTTCTAATCACCGTGCCAACATGGGTAAACATATTACTAAAAGTGAATTGTATGATAAATAATATTTACTTTCAATAGTTGAAACAAATGTTCGACGTTCTAAATCTGGACTTATAGTTAACATTTTATAAAATGTTGATAATATAGGATCAGCTGAGAAATTCTATATTA